CAAGCTGGGTGGAATTCATTTTCAGACATTACAGAAGTAGGCCTTAACTGCTTGTGCACTACCCAGCTGTTCATTCTACCTGGAAATTTCATTGGCTGCAATACTACTGCCTAAATTAGACACTGATGTTGTAATCTGCTATCTGTGGATTCATAATACTATACCATGCTTCAGAATACTTCAGATTCGCATTTGTATTGGAAAATACATAACTGAATATGAAAAGGGGAATCCTTGTGTGTTTTTTTAAATCATTTAATCATTCTGCTCACTTACAGTATAAAAAAGCAATGGTTTTGTCTATCCTGTTTTGGAAAAGCATTTTGCCTGGGTTTTAAGATAAAGGAATGCCTTATCTCCAGTTACAAGTCAGTATGTACAGTTGTCCCTGTCTCTTAAGCCAAGACTTCACTTTACTGCATGCAAATGTACTACATTTGACTTCTACTGTACGTTAACTACATTACCCACTTTTGCTAAAAGCATTCAGGCAGTAAGAGATGTGTGAAAATAAAACTAAAATAACTGGATAAACTATCAAGCAAAATCCTAAAATGGAGGGCTGGTAAAAATATTAAGGCTTGATAAAATCCCAGTCCACATTAGAACAAGAAGAATAATGTGTAAAGAAACAGACCTTTCTGCTCTTAAAGCTTTCTGTTTAACAAGTCATAATACAGTGCTTCACAGAAAGGTTAGGAAATGTTATTATAATGTTCTATAAGACCTATTTCATATTAACAGAGAATATAATGATCACTAACACCAGCTGCGAATCTAGTAAAGTATAATGTATCATACCGTTTTATTTGCTAAAAGTGTGGTATCTTGCATTGCTTGTGTTACTGTCTAACTTATGGCATTATACCAATTTCTCTTTATAGTGCAATGTCCATGCTGAAAATCATTCAGTTCAGAAATTATTTTTGACTGTACGGTGATCATAATGAAATACGTCAATTATCCCTAAAAAAAAAGCAAAAACTGAGCATTCAACTAAATGCAGTTTGGCCTTCAACATATCTCATAACTGTACTAAGGGCAACGCATGTGAGTGCTACAGAGTACATTTCACACCTGTGCACTGGCCAAAGTATTAGGAACGCCCACAGAATGTTTGTCCTTCGGAATATCGTGAAGAGGTTGTGGTGTGCGGCCTACAAGGTTCTGAAATATCTGTAGCCTGATAACTTACTTGAGAGGCCAAGAATGTGAAGGAATAATTGTCCTACAATTCCTACATGTCTTACATTACACAGTAGTGTAGTCTTAAGTAGTATTAAGAAAACAAGAAAGGTTACAAGCGAGAGGAGGCCATTGGGCCCATCTTGCCTGTTATCTGGCCATCTGGGAGTTAGTAGCTGATTTATGCGTGGATGTCATGTAGTCATTTCTTGAATGATGGCTGAGTGTCTTGTTCCATAACCCCATGACCCTTTCTGTACAGTCATGTCTCCTGCTCTCCATCTTCAATGAAATAGTAAGATACTGTATAAGGAAAACCTACTTCACCACTTTCAGTAGGACAGAGGGGTGGGATAGTTCAGGTTAGGAAAGGAGATTATTGTCTCATGTGACCCATAAACTGCCTTCCAAACAAGATAATTTATTAAATTGACTGGTGTTCTTAATGTTTTAGCACTTGAATGTAAATGACACAACCTTAAATTTAACCTCTAAAAAATAGAGTTGTCATTCATGAATCTGGACACTTGCTAGCTTGTGTTGTTTTAGAAAGAGGTGGTCTTCAGTCACATAAACACATACGTATAGCTTAAAGAACACCAAGTTGGAGCTTAGAATACACCTTTAAAACACTTTTGCTGTTATAGCTAACTGCCTTAGCACTAAACACCGCAAAGAACAATAAGAAGTACAAAATTTCTAATATGTTCTATAGAAATTATGTAGAAACTGTATTTTTGATTTGTAAAAGGCTAAATTTACAGTTCTATAAACTTCCTATCTAAATATAAGTCTTCCTTTTGTTTCCATTTACATCTTTTCAGCACTTCTTCCCTTTATGTAAATTTGTCATTTCAATGGTATGATTCTGATATGTTTCAATGCTCATATTACCTAATTTGGGTCACACCCTCAGCATTTGAAACCCCAAGGTACAACACCATCATAGAAGACAGACTTGGTCTTTCTAAAGTTTTACAGCAGACAATTCAAATGTAAGATTCTGATTCTCTTCTTAGCAAAATATCATCCTAATTTCTACAGTACTTCAATGTCTATTAAGCGGAACTAAGAAAAAAAGACCATCATTTTGCATTGATAATGCCACATAACTGGGTTATTGTGTTGTGTGAAAGAAGTGCATCATTGACACATGACTGCACCTATTTGGAGTTACTGCTCTTTTCAGTCATGTAATACCCTGTGGTAAATCCCATGCCTGGTATAATACTCCCTGTTTATGAAATCCTCCATGTGCAATTTACTTTGATTTGATGCCAGTTCATGAAGCTACACAATTTGAATATTTTTCAAGACATATACTGTATGTGTTTTATACATGTCAAAACAATACAAGATGGTTGTCGTCGATAACAATCATGGCTTAAATTGTCCTAGGCAAACACTGTTAACTATTTATATCTTTTGGTTTCATCTATCTCCTTTCTGGTTTTCCCATTCTTTTGCTTAGGGTCTTGCCCTTGTACGTTACTTGTTTCAAGAAAGGCATCTAAATGTCATGAAAAAATACTAGAATATACTGCTACTGTACTTGTTCCCCTGTGTCAAACCCAGTAGCAGTAGTCTGGTCTGACTGCCTCTTCATTTTTTGAGCTTATCCTTGGTGAAGAATGTATCCACACTGACATGAGATGTTTCTCCTTCGTTTGGGGGTAACCATCTTTACGCAGATAGCATTACATCTGAGCCATGTGCTAAAGGCAGTTGTTACAATTCCTCTCTTCCTTTCCAAACCAAATCTTAAGACAAGAATATTCACAATGTGTACTATGTAAGAACCACAGCATGCCTCTTAACAAGCACTGTGGTACCAGCCCCATTGAGAATTCTGCAGGGGGAAAGGGAAGTGGTCTTGAAATAATGACGATCTCACTTTTAAAGAAAATCTATTTGAACAGATAATAGCTGCTTAGAATAGTGGTCACAGGTTCAAACCTTGTTGCTATGTACTTTTGCAAGGTACTTCACTCAAAGACTACTCAAGAAAATGCCCTGCTGCAAAAAGGGTCTCCGAGTCGCCATTATAAGTAGGATTGTCAAGTTATCAGTTGACGGAGTAAAATAAAGAAATACAAAACACATCTAACCGCAATGGGACGTCAATTCAGACTAACTCACAGGAAATGTAACCCAGAATTCGAAACATATACAGTATCTTATCTGCATCAATCTTTATTTTACAACGTCGCACTGCAATGGCCTTAGCACGTTAACATCGGAATGATTTCTGCCCATTCCTTTCCTAATAAAGCAAAGAGCTCACTTGGAATAATTAAACAACGATGCTATCAGAAACCTCAACAGTAACCGTGAGGTGCCACAAAATATGGTTTCAGCTTTGCTGATCGCTCGTCGCTAATTGCACTGAATGTAGTTGGAATCCCAAGGCGATCGGAGAAGTGGAAATTTCCTCTGCAAACAGTGGGATCCAGAGATCTCATTTAAATTTCAAATGGATATGGAGCCCACGTCACAGCTGTGGCTTCAGACTGACAGCAGAAGGAGGCTGGCAAACGCAAAAGCAAGTCTTTCCGAACGGTCACGATATCTCAAGACAAGCTTTGAGAGCGCCCCAGCAGCAGGCATTGCTAAGGAATTCCTGTGACTAGTGTAGAACCTTTGATCAAGTAGAAGTAGTTCGGTTCTTCAAGAAAAAATAAATACCGTTCTTTGGAATCTGGATATCTACAAGGAAATCTATCAAGGAAAAGAAGACAATATTCAGAGTTTACGGTGTTTATTTTTGTAAATGGCAAAACAGCCACTGAATTCGATACCTATAAAACTGATTAAGGATTGCGTTTAACATATTTCAATCACCCTTTCCTTGATAACAGCCGATTCACAAGACAAATCGATAAAAAAATGACTATTTCACTACTGCGTTGTACTGTACTGTATTCCACGTATTTGCTTTGCATTATTTTAAAATAAAAGCCACTGACGAATAGAAATCTTTTCAACTTATAACTGATGAAAGGACCGACTGTCGTTCTTTTACGAGGTGGGGGGGAAAAGAAATCTACCTCGACGGTTTTCCTTGGCCTGGTAGTCACTATTCGATTAATGTCTCATCAACACATTTATAATGGTAACAACTGTGTTAATTCTCAACACCGAGGCTGATTAGTAATCTTTTTGTAAGAACGTGACTACTCACAGGTGTTTTCAATACCATTTAAGAATGAAGAGTGGTGCCTTTATAAAATCATAGCCTACAGTACATTTTGAACTTCACGGCGGCACAATAATGTCTTTCCTGTTCAATAAACGCTATCGAACCAGGCATTCCACCCAGCTTTCCTGATCTGGATACAAATTAAGACAGGATAGGTACGACAGAAGGAATGTGAAACGTTAACATCGTTCCCTAGAGACATTAATTGTTTTAATGATCATATTACTTAAAAAACTAAGAACTGCAATGAACAGCATCTATTGCTAGAATAGCTATAGCTGTCTCTGCTGCCAGAGACGGCTATTTTACCCAAGGGGGGAAAATGAAAACGTAATTTCTATGCATCTCTAGGGGACCGAAAGGGGGCAAAATACGTATTTATTACCGCATATATTTGCAAAATTGCAAGCTAAATACGTAGCACGGTTCAATTTTTAAGTATCGTCCTATGTATGTACCCGTCTCAGAAATGAATGAATGACGAAAACGGGAAAAAAGAGCGAAGAATTTCGAGGCGACAGTTAAGAAAGGCAGGAATACAGGATTTATTTCGCTTTTATGCACAAGCATCATCGTTTCCCGTTATTCTTTAGCTTCCCCAAAGTCTGGTCCTTACCCCAGCTGCTGGCGGTGCGACCCATAAACTCTCCACTCCGCGGATTGTAGATAAAATCCTTCCAGGTGGACTGGTTCTGTTCTGCGGGCTTCTCCTCCTTGTTCGACATGGCTGGGCTCGGTTTTACAAAGGGAACGCTGTCAATGAAGTGTAGCGAAATAAAGCGTGTATGTGTGATTACGAATGATGGGGGGCGCCTGTGTAGTGGGGATGTTTTATAATAAGATTCTCTGACGTTTTTTAACAGGCGCAGCTCCGCTGTTGTCCCCAAGTCCACAGCCTCACCGCAGCAGCGAACCAAGTCAGAGCTGGGCTGCTTTGAGGGAGGGAGTTGGAGGAAAGGCAGCGCAAGCGCAGTGCTACCGCTCTCCACAAATTCCAGGACAAATTTGATCGGTAAATGTATGAAGCCAGAATCGGTTTCCGTAACTCAGCCGCGATTCCCCCCTCCTCTCAGTTTCTGAAACATGATTTTGAAATAGCACAAGGTAAAGTGGAGCCACGACCGAAATCCAGTCTTAACATTGTATGGACCCGAAAAACTGCAATAGACAACGATTAAATACACTTCGTTGAATGCAGAGTCAACCAGAAGGGCATGCACTATGTATCTTTTTACATTGTGTCCCCATATTTTATTGTATTGTTCAAATAAAGTAATGTCGACTTTGCAGGTTGTTTCTCATTTTTTTTCCCCGTTTTCATTGCGTGAGAGAAATATTTATTATTAATAATAACATCGTAAACTGGTAGCAGAACTGTAGTCGTGTGCGTTCAGACAGATGAAAACTGTTCTCTCAAGATACGCAATTGTTGGTTATACCCCCAAATCGGCGTTTGACCGTACAGTGCGTGTTTCTGGAGATAAAGAGGCTTGTGACGTTAGACACGACATACTGTACCTTCTAACAAGATGACCCCGCTTTGTCTCTTGATTATTTATTTTTGGATTCCAAAAACACAACATACCAGGTTATATACAAGTTTAACGGCCTAGCGTTTTGGGGCTGTATTTATAAGATTATTAAGTAGGGATTTTGAGTCAACATGTTTCTACAGTAAGCATTTCTGTGCTCTTAATACACAGATCATACGAACACCCCGTGATGAGTTACAATTATCGCTGTTCTGTAAAATAGTAGCAGAAGACCGCATGTCCATCTAAGGGAGAAGATGGGAATTGAAAGGTCGTTGTAAAGACTTGGTAGCTTTATGTCCTTTGGCGCTTTCTGAAGTCACATGTAGAGAAATCCGAGACACTACACTTGGGGCTTGAACCACTTGTACTGTACAAGAGCAGCTTCTACAGGATCTTCCCCTTTCATTCAGGAGAGAAATTCCAGGCTTAGCTACAGTGTACATATCTTGTCTGAAAGAATTACAAGGAGCATTTTGTTGAGACAGTTCTAGGCTAGCCTAATAGAGACTTTTCACCCCACCCCTCCTCAGCATTCACCGCATAATGCAGACAGACACATTTGTGTATAAGCTTGAGATTTCTGGAGTGACCGTAGTAAAACTATAATTTTGTGGCTTGGCTTCTCGTTCTTCTTTAAAAAGAATGAACCATTCGGCAGTTACTCAGGGTTTGGATTTTGCTGGAGAAAGACATTTAAAACTACAGTTAAAAGGGGGATTCAATTCAATTCACCCAGTCGTTTCTCCCATCCGTTAAAAGGCTTTTTTAAATGTCTTTGATAATCCTAATAATTCGTTCACACCCCAATTACTTTTTTATAACTCCATAAGCCGCTAATTAAAGAAGATAGTTGTAAAGGAAAGAACTGAAGAGTTCAAACCTAGGATATCAGCACGTAGTGTACATGCTATTGGGTCTGAGATGCTATTGGTTGGACAGGGAAAGTTAAAGCAGACACCTACTCAAAGTTTTTATTATGATAATGCAGTTACTAGAATAACCACTCGTTAATAATGACATTTGAAAATACTTTTTTTTCTTTGAATTAGTAGCGCTTACCCAGCATCTTCATTTGAAAAATCAATATAATTCCAATCCTGAACAGCTACTGTAGTTTCACTACTAATACAAAGGAAGGGTCGTCCTAAATATACCATGTAATGATATTGCTAAAAACATATTTAAAAAATATTCAGCTGTTTAGACCCATATGAATTCATGGGAGAAACTTCATTAAAGCAGAACACATTCTGAAATGTCTTCTTCTTTGTGATAACAGTGTTGGTTTGCATGAATGTGAAGGGAATCCTCTGGGATTCCCTTTCTTTTCTGCAGTGGAATACTGTAAAAAGGGAAAACATTCCAGCTTAATGATCACATAGGGTCATCTCCAGGAATTCCTGAAACTGCCACAGGCTAGGCAATCCCTGTTTCCATAGCTACTGCATCATTAGAATAGCAGCTTTCATTATTCCACTGAAGATGAAAAGGCAAAACAATTATGTGTTTAGCATACTACTGTACATTTCTTCTTCATTTGGGATTTTAGAAGAGAATGCACCCGGCACTAACTGCGTATTGCTGAGCACTGAATTATTACAAACTACTAATTAAGAGTCCCGTTTGAAGTTATTTATACTACTTTTACAATATTTTTAATTTCTCTTAATTGTATATCAACTTAAAGCATATTCCGTGTCTCCTTTATAAAAAAGCCACAAATCTCTAGCTGTTAGCAGTCATTTGGACTGTGAGTGATGTGGAATTGCAGAGTTGCTGAATTTGTTGTCAGCCAGGTCAAAAGCTCCCTGGCACATCTTCCTATATAGCCACATAACAATAAAGTCAAACAAAGGGCAGAAAACGTAAATATTTCCTGCTACAGAAACAAAAGTATTATGAACAACGAAAGATGAGAAATGTCAGAATATCCTGCACTTGTTTGTACAGAAAATAAGAATCAATGTTTTTCCAAAGACCCTGCATGTCGGCAGTAACAAAAGATAGCGTTTTCCCACTTCTGCAGCTCATACAGCAAGTGTAGCAAGAATACTAAATGATGTAGCAAGAATACTAAAGGAAGCAGCTCCTGCACGTCTTAACCTGAACAATTCACTGGTCTTCTTAAACATATGAGGCCTCAGCTTTCCGTCGGCCTCTGTTTCAGGGATCTAACTTTCGGAAATGTTTTAAAACAGACATAAGCAGTAGTTTCACTTGGATCAGCTATGCTGTAAAATAGTCCTGTAATAACTTTTCCGGTATTAACAACCTACCAAAGGGGAAACCTCCTAAACAGTCTGCATTTACTCTCTAATGTATAAATATTTTGTTAAATATATGTAAATTATAGTGTATCATTACATATGAACAATAATAAGGTGTAGGGTTAATTATTTAGAACTCAATTCTTGCATGAATAATGCATGCGTCCTACATGTCTTTGCCATAAGGAATGAGATGCATTGTTGGAGCGAGGATTTGTAAAGAATGAAGCAGAGATGGGGGTGAAAGTGATAGACAATATAACACTGTTTAGAGCTAGCAGAGTTTGTAAAGTGACAAGAACATAGCAGAGTCTGCAAACTTCAGGGGGCCTTTGGACCCCTCTCGCTCATTTCAGCGTTAGTATCTCATGTCTCTGTATATATTGTCCAGTCTTTTCTCTATTGATCCCATGGAATCAGCTTCAATAACATGGCTGTGTAGTTTGTTGCATACACCCACAGCTCTTTGGGTATAGGAAAAATACTTTCTAATCTACAAAACATTCAGAGGAGACTTCAGAAATTGTACCCAGCTTTAGTAATGGACTTCAAAAGTCCAGGTAAAACTCTGCTAGTATCCCCCTGACAGATGGTTTGCAGGTTTTAATTATATTGATGTAGCATTTCTTGTGTAGATTGAGTACAGAGCAATGTTCCACAGGGAGTAACAATACTTTTGTGGCATGTTAGACTACAGATAATACAGCTGGACTGTACCACTCAGACTGCACACTTCTGCTCCTCCTTCCCCTTTCTGAGGTTATACAGAGCAAATGTCATGGAGGGGGTCTTGCTGAAACAGGACTAATACAGTTGTGTAGAGCAGTTAATAAAGCCTGAAACAAAGGCTTTGCGGATAAACAGGAAACCTTGTGATTAGCTCCTCAAGACAAGTGAAGACCAGGACAATGTAGCAGGCACCTCTCAGGACACAGTCCTGCAAATACGGATATTCCTTAACCACTACCTTATATCAATGTGCACTTTGAAAATATGCTGAGAATATTCACTTATCTGTTTTCTTTATCCAGTAGAAGGTCACAGGGGAGCCGGAGTCTGAACAGGCAAAAAGGACACACCCTGGACGGGGCACAAACGTGTGCACTCTCGCACAAGGGCCAGTCTTCCTGGAAGGCAGTTAACTTACCGGTCTGTATTTGGACTGTGAGAAAAACACAGAACACCTGGAGGAAACCCACATGAACACAGGGAGAACATCCACAGAGGGTACCCCAGGAACACCAGTACTGCGAGGAAGCAATGCTAACTGCTGCTCCACGATGCTGAGAATATATCCATCAAAAAACTAGCAGTTATATTCTTCAAAAGTACATTTACCGGTTCCATAAGTAAAATATTTAGATAGAAATAGCTGAAGAGAGTTAAAGATTTGTAGAATAATTCTGTGATAATTACATTACCTCACGAGATTGTTTTGTCCATAAAACCTTTTAGCCAGCAGAATGATGTTGTTCTGGTAGTTTACAGGTTTTATCAGCAGCATGTGAAAGTAGGAATACGACATCAATACCGTGTGAGAGTTCCAATAATTCATTTCATTTATTGCACTTCATATAGTGCTTTTCATTCAAAAGGACCCCAAAGTGATTTTTAGAAATCTATTCCTCCAGCCCTGAAATACAGAATCCATCTGGGAGATTTCCAGTGTGGGACCATCCATCTATCCATGTTCTAACAGCTTCTTCCAATCAAGTGTCGCAGAGGAGCCAGAGCCTATCCTGGCAAGCAACGGACGCAAGGCCTGATACAACCTGGACGGGACTCCAGTCAATCTCAGGCCACACACAGACACAGACACGCAGATGCTCACACTGGGGTGTTTTCCCAGAAGCCAATTAACCTACCAGTTTGCCTTCAGAAGCCCACATGAACACAGTGAGAACATACAAACTCCACACAGATAGCACCCCAGGTCTAGGATTAAACCAGGGCCCCAGTGCTGTAAGGCACCAATACAAACCACTGCGCCACTGTGTCACCTCATTGCAGGACTAATTTAGGTAAGTACTGTATTCAATATTTAATGCATACATATAGTTCACAAAGCAGGAAAATGCTCCAAGCATATGTACCAGGAATTTGTGATTAATTGGTTCTAAGACACAATGTAGTACTAATCTTGGGAAAAAGCACATACCTTTTTAAAATTATTTTTGTAAAGCGATTCTGGTATGTTTTTCCAGAATTTAGCAATGGATATGATTTGCAAATATTGGTTTTTGCCAAGTTTAGATGATCAATTTTCATAAACTTACAACTTGACTGATTGTAGATGTTTATTCCTACCACTTCGCTACGTCCTGAACGACAGTTATGACTGTGTTTCTTATTTAAAAAATAAAATGTGAGGAATAAAACAGTTACAAAATTGAGAAATAGTTCTAAAAAATTCAACTGAAAAATATTTGATTCTAGAAATTTGAGAAATTTTGCAATGTTTTAACTCTTATGATAAGAAGAATCCTTTGTATTTGTATGGAACATTTCAGTACAAATGATCCCAAACTTCTTGATATACAATAAGTCACCCTTTCCTTCCAAAACAGAGATCAGTAGCCACATTACACTTGATCAGAATTTTCTGGTTCAACACCACAGAAAACCACTGTCTAAAAATTAGTAAAAGGTTTATGAACAGTATTCGTCATACACAATTACACTGTAGGTATTTAATGTTGATCTGCAGAATGTGTGTATGTTTGTACATGTGTACACATGCTTCATTAGAAAATCTTCAAGAGCAGAGCTTGGACAGGTTTTCAAGCTTCACTTTAATCTGGTCTACAAATGTAGTGCAATACAAGCTGAGCAGAGACCATACATTTTGCTTACGCATATTCCACGCAGTCAGTTGTAAAAATGTGTAAAAAAGACACTTTATTATTTTGTGGTTTCAGTCTCAGCTCAGAGCTGCAAACCCTGTCTCCACACACAGGAGAATGAGCAAGTGAAGAGAGACTCTCTGACCTGTTCACTTTCCAGTCACTTGTCTTTTATAACTCACAAGTAACCCACCCCCGTGCAGGAGCTACAGCTCCAACTGCAGGAGAGGGATACCATCACTGACAGCACCATGTGCCTGTAGGCACCCAGGAAGTCACTTGGGTCGCTGCTTGGCCAAGAGCCAGGAGAGACCTGGCTGACTAATCCCTACCCTACCTCAGTTGTTCGGTCACTGCTTGGGGAATCCTGGTTAAACTCAGCGAGTGGCATAACCAGGCTCGAATCCGGGACCTTAGAGTTCAGCCTGCTCTTGAGCTAGTGCTTTAACTCATCGTTCATGAAGTTAATAATATTCAATTGTGAATGGAAACCACACACAGATTTTAAATACCTGAAAACTGTACAGCTGTCATTTATAACTTGGTGCATGAATACACATAAAATGAATGGCATTAAATATGTTAAAACATGAATACATTTGTAGACATACAGTAAACACTGATGGTCTCCATCTCCAAAAATTGCATTTAGTAATTTAAGAGTGGTGGCACTGTGGCTAAGGATCTGCACCTGTGGCTAGAAAGTTGCCAGTTCAAATCCCACAGCCGGCACAGGAATCCTACTCCATTGGTCCCCTGAGCAAGGCCCTTAACCCCAACTGCTTTGTGGGTGCCATATAAATGGCTGACCTTGTGCCCTGCCCCTAAGCTTCTCTCTCCCTGCCTGTGTATCTCATGGAGAACAAGCTGGGGTCTGTGAAAAGACAAATTCCTAATGCAAGAAATTGTATACGGCTAAAAAAGTGATCTAATCTTATCTTAAGTGTAATGTGTTTATTAAAAACATAACTGCAAGTGAGGAACCTTTTCTAGTTCATTAAACTAGTTAGTTAATAGTTTTCTAGTTCATTAAGATATTTCAGAAAAAGGGTATGGACAATTATTTTATATATACAGTATACAGTATACTGCTCCATGGATGGAGTTCCATGGCTTTCTAAGCAGGATCTATCATTTTCAAATGAACGTGGTATTTGATATACTTTGTAAATTAGTAAATACCACTGTTGAAGATGGTGAAGAAGGTGAAGGTTTTCTAAGTATTCCATTTTCAAACATAAACATAAAATTACCAAATTCCAGTTCTGTATTGCTTTTTGTTAAAAATAACAGGTATAGTCTTAGCATTGCACTACACTTCTGAATCATCAGTACAATGCCATACCAATACCATACATTTATCAGTATATTTGCGTTGAGTTTAACTTTTTAGGGAGCAGGGAGCCCATCTATCCAGGAGCAGGCTGTGTATTATCAGATTTCAGCATCTGAGATTGAGATCAAACAGAGCATCAAGGAGTTGCAAAGCAATGCCTGCATTTCAGAGTCCACATTTTGTTTCGCATTTTAGCATTGAGAAAACACAGATTCTGTCTCCCTCTGCTGCTAGACTCGTGAACTACACAACACACAGCATCTGGAAGCTTTCCGCAGGTTTTCTGTTCATGGGCAGTGCTCTCAAGTTGCGCTCCCGTTTCACCTTCAGACAAGTCCCTTGCGCATTTTTTTAGGGTCCATCCAGGCAGACTCAGGAGACAGGCCTGATCAAATTATAATCAGAGTCTTTAGATAACCGAGAAGAGACATAGTGCTGTGATACGTTTTTGTGTGTTCCTGACGTTACGTCTTTCAGAGAAGTGCGCAGACACCTGACCTGGATTCGCTATTTATTCCTGCGGCCGACTCCTTCCTGCTGGGATCATTGAGCTCGTCAAACAGTCCCGTTTCTATCATTTCCTCCTGCCAGGGGATTGAAACTGCCCCAGTGGCAAACCTCTTGAAGAACTTCTTATCCTTGTCGTCAAACTCTATCCCCCGGATTTCGGAGAAGTCTGCAATGTCTCCGATCTCCTTTGCGTACACAACGGAGGGGTCTGGCACAAAGGGCGGGTCAATGAGCCCAGCTTCCAGACGCTGGAAGACAATAGACTTAAACCATGCGTGCTTCCTTGGATCATCATGTGTGCCTCTGAAGAATAAAATAAATCAAGAATTTATTCACAGATGTTTTGCATTGTTCACTGCGAAAGAGATAACGTATTGTCACTTGAAAGAGAAAACGAAAAACTTCACAATTTGTGAATCTCGTTCAGAAAATCAGTTTGATTGTTTTGTGATTGCACCACACACGAAGAGAATCTTCACTCATCTTTACGCCTCTTGACCCACACTGCACTACAGATTACAGAAGTTTCAGAGTCAAGAAATTGCAACTGATTTAAGATACTTTATAAAATAATTTCCTAACACTTACTGTAACTATGAGTTGCCTGGCTTGTATTCAAGTATTATAAAGTATACCTACAGGTGTAGTATACCTGGCTTTCTGTAAAACAAGGAGTACTATGATGTCTGAATTCAGCTTATTTAAAATAAACCTTAGTGCAGAAGGACAGTCATGCATATTTGAGAATGGAGCATTAGCACTTTAATTCTTTCAGTGTTTTAAAGTAATTGATAGGTGGGAAATAAAAAAAATGTTAATTGGTTCTAAGAATTGACTTTGTAGCAGTTTAGGGTTGCCTTGCTTCAGACACTGGGAGAGAAAGGAGGATGAGGAGTTGCTACTGCTACTTTGGCCTGAGGAAGATTGGAGGCAAAAAACAAAGATGCCCCGTCTTGAAGAGGGGCATGAGAAGAAGGAGAAGTTGCCACCCCCCTGCAAGAGGATGATGCCGAGGTGTGACTGTTGCTCCAGTGAGGGGAGCCCTGCTGCAGCTACACCACTACACCAGCAGGGGGAGCACAGGCTGAAAGAATGAGTGAGAGCGAGTGGGAGCTGCTGCCAGCGTCCACAGTCCACGTCACAGAGAGGGGCTCGCAGCTTCAGGGAAACGGGGTGAGCTGGCCACAGTGAGCATAAGAACAGGTTCAAACAAGAGGATGATGCCATTGGCCCATTATGCCCATTTGGTAGTTAGAGGTGAACTGATTCAAGGATCTCTTCCAGCCATTTCTTCAACAACATTGGCCTTCAACAGCATGTCTGCGTAGTTTGTTCCAGACTCCCACACCCCAAACCTTCAGGTAAAGAAGTGCCTCCTTTTCTAGGTTTAAAAAGCACTTCCACATAGTTTCCACTTGTGGGCGTAAGCCAGGTGGAAGGTTGACATGCTTCTGGTTAGGGTACCTGGTGCGGCTCTTGGACATCGCTGTCTTCAAGCTTGGGGACTTCAGATAGTTCCAACTTCAGGTTCTGGCCTCCTCATGTTCCATCAAGGCCTATAGTCTTCCTCCTCTTGCTCCAGCCAGGGTGGCAGAAGCAACTCCTCATCCTCAGGAACACAGTGGGAACAAGCTCTCTCATCTTCTCCCACTCCCCTACTCCTCCTTCCCCCATTGCAATACAAGTACCTTCACCCAAGACAAGCTGGTATCTGGGCAGCTCTAAATGGCAAATTACTTATCTTACCAGAAGCACTAAAAGACAGTATATGCGTAAAATGTAATGTAAAAAAGTAAGCCCCTCTACATTTTTCCTCATTGCTTTTGTAAGTATTGCCCTATAAAGTTGGAAAAAAATCAATGACTAAATATTAAGAGCTACGTTCCCCCTCAATACTTTTCAGAGAGTGGGTCAAATACTTCTGCTATTCAATTTGCTTTAGAGGTTAGTGAGTTTTTATTTGAAAACCACATAATCTTCATCATCTTAAAGAGTAATTTCTTTTTTTTCAGCCACATAAAATTTGAAATGCATATATCAGATGGTGGAAGTAAACTTAGAAAAACACCCATTTTGGCTCCAGGGCACATACCTGCATCCTAAGCGGTCCTCGACTTTCTTCATTAGAAACTGTTTACATATGTCCTTGGTGAGCTCATCGAACTTGGGGTGATCATACTTCACCTCCTCCTCCAGGGTCCTCCTCTTGACTTCGTCCTTGTTCATTTTCTCCTTGAAGTCTTTAAAAGGAGTCCGGCCTGCCACCATCTCATAAATACTGCAGCCCAGGGCGAACCAGTCCACAGAATAGGTGTAATCTTCTTCCTTCAGGATCTCTGGGGCCATATATCCATTGGTGCCAGCCTACTCCATTAAAAATAAAGAGGAAGTTGTGTAAAAATAAAAAAATAAAATTAGGGCATTTTATTTGCTGGCTGCCTTTCAGCTTGTGCATCTTTCATTATTGAAGACTTTGTTCAAGAGATTACTGAGAATTACATACTGTACATACTGGATGGATACGTTCTGTCATGATAACAAATGTAAAACAGAAGGACCATCAATATAGCTCCGTGGGGTTCTTGTGTAGAGACTGGCCAAGTGTGCCAGAGCTGTGGTACTGTAGTGAATGGGGAATGAACCATGTCACTGTAGCTTTGGCAAGCAAGTAGTCTGCTTTGACAAAGCAGAAACAGATATATCTTTTCCCTCTACCTGGGGTTCAGACCCAGCCAAGGACTGCAATGTCCTCACTTTCCACTGCGTGTGGTGTCATTTGGGCTCACTGATTGGTCACATCTGGGGATTGGCAAAAGAGCTCCAATTTCCAACAGTGAGTGCATCAGATTCTCCTAAAGGGATTCCTGTCTGTTTGAGCCCATCTTCATCCGTCTAAAGAGAGCAGCACTTCTACAGAAGATGACGCCGCAAAGTGCCGAAGGCCTATTAAGGGCCTTATTACTTCACCACGACTCAAATTTATATTTCATCAGAGAAATTCTAAATTGCTTTAGGATTTAATTAAAGAAATGTAACTGGTTTGAGTTAGACTAACTACAATGGAGGTCCTGCTTTTACGATTATCTGATTGAAACAGATTTAGGCAATGCTTGCTAAAGAAGATTATGTTCACAAAGCCAGCAATGTCGTACTTGCTTGGCTTGGGCTATAGGAGAGCATTAGATAATTAGATTAACTGTCAAAAACATTGTTTCCTTTTCAGTGTTCTAACCATAATGACACAGCTGGTGAGGGGTGCAGTCTGTTGATTACGTGAATGTGTGAAGCAGAAGTGCTTGTACTTCTATATGTTTATGTTCAATAGCAATTTAATTATCCTGAAGAAAGTAATCTCATGTAATAACATTTACTAAAGCACATTCCTGTCGAGCAGCTTCATCCTTTATCTGTGTGGCAGCCCAGAAAACCACGGTAAAGTAGCTCTTCAGGTACTAATGCTGTGGGAGTATACAGTACATTTGTCAGTTTTAATTTGTATCAGTTAATGTACAGTATGGCAGGGCAATACCATTCACTAATGAAATAAAAATTCTAGTTCCTCTAGGGATGGAAAGATGGTTTAGTAGGTTTAATCTGTATCCTTTTCCAGTTAACACAAGAGCAGCACAATCAGATTATGTTTTAGCAGTTTTATCTTCAAAATCACAATTTACTGTAAAACAAAAATATTCAGCTTCATCACCAAACTTTATGTTTAGGCTATAGCCTCATTTGAAAATGAAAATATGTAAGGGTGAAATATTGCATTAAAAGTGAAATAAATATAAGGGCTTAAGCCTATAAATAGAATGAAAAATAAGTAAGCACACATCTGTTGTGTAATGAAGTGGCCATTAGTAAGGCCCTCAGTGAGGACAAATCCTTTGGCATTAAGAGTAAAGTAGATTGATACTGATGACTGTCGGAGTGAGTGAAGCCTGCTCTCTACGTACCTTCTGATTGATTGATTTTCCTTCTTTAATTTCCACTGCCAGACCTAAATCAGATAATCTGCACTGGCCGTTGTCATCCAAGAGCACGTTTTCTGGTTTCATATCCCTGTACACGATGTTTATGGAGTGAAGGTGCAGGATCCCACAAGTTATCTGGGCTGTGTAGTAGATGGCTCGGTTCATCTCTATGCCTCTCTCTCCGATATTGTAGATGTGGTATTTCAGATCCCCTCCATTCATAAGACTCATCACTAGACACAGGTGGCTTTTGGTTTCATACGCGTACGCCAGTTTGACAATGAAGAGGCTGTTGACTTTCTCCAGAATCTCCTTCTCTAGAAGTGCCATCTTCTCCCCCTTTTTCTTTTTCAGCCTTTTCTTGTCCAGTTTCTTACAGGCATACATTTGCCCAGACACTTTGACCTGAATAGCACAGACCTGCAGAAGAAAGAAAAAGAAACGTGGTCCCAACATCAGGAGTATTTATTTCCTGAAATACAGTAGCCCTTTTATTTCAGGTTACAATATAATGAGTATCTTCTTTCTATGTTATGGCATTTAACAAAAATCTATTGTTGCCAATGAGTATCATAAATGGAAATTTCTCCAATACCCAAGGGGATACATTTAGGACTCACTGGCTGTGAAACATGCAATCTGTAGAAAATGTGTCATTTGTAAGAAACATCAGACCAGAATTTCATATTACAGATAGTGCAAGGTGTATAGTACAGCGGATAACAAAGATAGACCATCATTACCTCACCAAAACCACCTTTTCCCAGAATCCTAAACTCATAGAAGTATTTCTCTGTGATGGGCTGGCGTTCAAACACTTTCCACCGCAGAAACCTTTCAAAGAAGGGGCTGTTTTGATATTCGTCAAATGCTTTTCCCTTGAGGAAGTTTCTTGTCTCCTCTTTGGCCTTTTCCATGACTTCTTCAAAATCTTTCTCGGTGACGTTTTTGCACTTCTCGGCCAACTCTGCACACAGGTAGGCAATGAAGTTTTTGGAGTCTGGCTTAAGGAAGCTGGTGGTGATGTTTTGGCGGAGGTTGTCTTTGGAGGTGCTCTCTGCCAGATCCCAGTTATTGAGCTCATCCAAGAAATCGATAGCCACCTGGTACTCAGGAACGGTTGCTGTAAACTGCCGGAATAACTTTTTCCCTATGGGTTGCTGCTCACACAGGTTTTCAAAATTCATCTCAGTCTTCTGCCGCAGCTCCACACACTGCTCGGGCTTGGGAAGAGACAGGCTCCTCCGCCTTTTTTGCATCTCCTTTGTGTCACCATCCCCACTTTTCCGGGCTTGCAGGTAAGCAGTGTTGGCTATCAAGTTATCTAGTCCTCCCATGTCACACATTTTGGCTGCTTTTGATTGTACTCTCCTTAGCAAGCTAAAATGCACTGTGCTGTATATCTCTGTCAGAGTCCTGGGGCGACTATGCTGATCTGAAGCTTGGTGGGAGAGAAAGAGTTGCTTTAGCTCTCAAGTAATTACTCATTTAGTATTAAATACCTCAGAAGGATTTTCGTTAAGTATCTTTAGGTATGCTATTCATGGAAAGGAACTTATAAGAGGTTTCTCCACTAAGGAGCTTTCAACTTTCTATGTTTAGTGGGCAGCTGAGCACCATCAAATTTGAATATAGCGTAAAAGATAGATTCATTTGTCCAAATCTCCAAACATGAACAGAGTGAGATCATAAAGGTACTGGTGGGTTCCTCTGTAAAAGCTGATCATATCTATAGGTCATCCTTGACCATGTTTGTTTGACCACTTTTGGAGATCATATTGATTAAATTAAAGCATCTGCACTGTGCTACTAATCCCTGAGCCAAAACCCTAGGGGGTCAAATTCCTTTTTTCTCTACAAATCTAGATTGCACTAAAATATTTAAGTGCAATGGGGAATATTGATCAATGATTTACAATTACAGGTGGCATGATGGTACAATGGTTGGAATGGCAAACTCACAGCACAGGAGCTCTGAGCTCAATTCTGGGCTGGGGATGCTATCTGCATATGTACTGTATAGTCTGTATGAACTCCCCGTGTTTGTGTCCATTTGCTCTGCATGCTCAGGTTTCCTCCAACAGTCCAAACATATACTGGGAGGTTAGTTGGCTTCTGGTGTGAATGCATGCATGTATGTCTGCCTTGCAATGGACTGGCGTCCTGTCCAGGGTGTATCTTGCCTTGTGCCCGTTGCTTGCCAGGATAGACTCCGGCTTTTTCGGCTTTTTGAAATGAAGTGGTTAGAAAATGGCTGAATTTACAATTGCAGTTAGAAAAACTGAAAAACCTAATCTTAAACAACATTAATCTAAAATAATTACTAAAAATGCACTGCTTGTTTATGACACAAACCTACCATTATTATTTAAAAATATAGAGCACTGGTTTATACTCACGAATCATATTGAAGACTATTATGATCCATAATGTCATAGAAATAGAGTCTGCAGAACTGATAATTAAAACTCTTTAAACCATATTTTTTTAACAACACAAATAATTGTGAAATACCTTTTAGCACAAGGCATGCCAAAAGCTCTGTCTGCAATGGTTTATAAGAACAAGGAAATTCTAAATGCACATAAAACAATGTATATAGAAAAAACTTTTTTAATTGAAATCTACAATGAAGTAAGAGAATTCGAGTGACCTCCCACAGGACTTAATGTAGTGAAAATAAAAAAATAAATGCATTTAGTAAATACATTTGTGGGTGGCAAAGTGTCGCAGTGGTTAGCATTTCTGCCTCGCAGTGCAGTGGCCCTGGGTTCAATTCAGGACTTGTTGTAGAGTTTGTATGTTCTCCCTGTGTTTTCGGGGGTTTCCTATGGGTGCTCTGGTTTCCTCCCACAGCCAAAAAACGAACTGGTAGGTCATTTAGCTTCTGGAAAAACTGGCCCTCGTGTTTGTGTTGGTGCCCTGTGATGGACTGGTGTCCTGCCCAGGGTGTACCATGCCTTTTGCCCATTGCTGGCCAGGATAGGCTCAAGCTCCCCTGCAACCCTGAATTGAATAAAGTGGTTAGAAAATAGTTGGATGTTCACTTTTGACTGGCTGAATCTTAGATGTAGCAAAGGTGAACCCTAGCTATAAGATTTCAATATGAGGCACATGGTAAAAAACAAACAAACCTTCACTTTTTCAGAATTGCGTGGAAGACAGGCAAAAACATACCCAGGGGAGAGAATGATAAAAAACAGTAAAAATATCTATATCACATGAGTGTAAGAGGCAGCCAGCTTCTATGCACGTGCCCAGCTGTGGTGGGTATATTATGCGGAATACAGATTAATTGAATCAATTCATTACAATCAGCTTTCAAAATAAACTTGTGTAAACATGGTGAAAAATTTGCCTGCCATTCTCCAGGATTTGGATTTCTGCCCTGCCCTTCTCACAATGCCTCCTCACAATGCTGCTTATGCACACAAATCTATCAATTAGAAAACATCATTAAGCATTTGGGAAAGAGACAAGGTCAGGGTCATAAGTAATCATGAGAGTCCACATTAAGCATCTACCCAGATGTATCCCAAGCCAATCCATCCAGCTCCCAATCAATAATATCAAGTCTAAACAATCCTATGCACTCTACTATTTTCTCGTTGGAAATATAAAGACACACATGACAAATGTAGTAAAAAATAAGCAACCCCCTAAATTTATTACAGATTTGCAGTAGTGACTATTGAAATATGCAGATCTAGCTATGAAAAGTGACCAAAAAACACCAAGAAGTGATTCTGCTAATTAAATCAGAAGTCTTTCCTCCTTTAAAAATGTTTAATTAGACATGGAGAAGACTGACTGCCTTTGAAAGAAAGTGCTTAACACTGTTATATCTTAACTATGAACTTTTCATTGGAGCTTTGCTGTCCTTTTCAATTATTTCAATATTCTTAACCACTGAATACTTTGATAATCAGAGAGGTATAGTTCATGGGTTATGTTTTCATCACCCGTTCATATATTTTTTGTGTTTTATATTTAAAATCCAAAGTCATTGTGCATAGCAGAAGGTCAATTTGCACAAAACCATTTCAGACTTAGGTGTTCCTGCAATTTTATTGTAGGGGTATCGTCATTCTGCATCAGGGGGTGTCTCAGAGAAATAGGCAGTTCTGCTACAAGAATAGCTACAAATCTGCCTCCATAGTTACTCTGGAATGCAGTGGTGTTCCTCCAAAAATGGCAGTGAAAATGAACAGGCTGCAGCTTGTGAGATCTATATTTCTTAGGGTACACATCATCCTTGGTTAGACCATGTTTTTTTTTTCTTTATTCATCTGTTTTTAACTCCTTTGAGAAGATAATGCAATGTAGCGGTCATACTGGAAGATTGTGAGAACTCCTAACATAACCTAAACACAATACAGCAAGGGTCCCTCAACCTGTTGAGAAATACAATCCTGGTTTTCTACCCCTTATAAAACGATAAACCAATGCGAACCTGTTTAACCCTTCTCTTTACGTCTTTAAGCTGTTAATGATATAAGCAGGCCCTAGAAAACCTGTTCCACTGTATCCTTTGAGACCCCTGCACTACAATCACTGATAACAACAAGGAGGAGAGTCTGTCTGGTTTGCCATGGTTTTCTATTTTTGCTCCTATTGAATCGGCAAAGCAGACCACCAACAAAGTTTTATACTTAGTTGCTGAATGGTTGGCAAGCTGACATCAACACAGTGCACTAAGAGTCCTCACTCGAATGATGCCTAATGCATCACTTTTTTGTTTGTTCCAGACTGTAGTAACAATGAATGCTGTGGGGCTCCCCAATCACTTTAACCCCAGTCTCTGCAATTGCCAGTACTCAACATGACACTGAATTCAATCTAATGAAGGAGCTCACTTGTACAAACAGACCCTGGTTTGAAAATCCACACACGTACACAACCTACATCGGAGTGAAAGGTCCAGGCAGCATCAAGGCATCCTTTGATGTTTTAGGTACTGAATCACTTTTCCCAGTTACTCTACTCGGTCTTCTAAACAAGAACAGGCTGTATATAATCTTCACTTGTAAAATACCAATATTCGCCAATGTAACCATACGGAAATTCTACTCAAAGGCTTGACCTTGATCTTCCTGTGAAACATTGGTAGAATGAATTTCTTTAGAATCAGATTGACCGCATTACTTTTATAAACTGCAATAACACCACATCTTCTTGAACAGTACTGACCACAGTGCTTTTTTTAGTCTCAAGGCACTCATTCATTTCATGTGTTATATTTAACCATCTGCTAACTAGGTCTCCTTCTAATCTGTAAAAAACCTAAGCAATGACTTAGTTTGGCCTCGAGTTTGACCATTATATTGTGAATGTAAACTAATGTACACTGCATGCAATAATTAATGTACTAGTGGGGTGGAAACATTCACAGTCCTGAGCAGTCTTAGCAGCAAATGATGAATGTGTGACCTTTAGAACTCGTGGTACACAATGTGTATTAGTGGTGAACTGACATGCACCATGCTTCTCTGTCACAATCCTCTTATGTAACAGTGTCTTTTTTCTCTGTCCATATAGCCAGCACTGGGGGAGCAGCACGTATCTGCCTGAGCTGCACTACCGAGACGCTGGGTGTCAAAGGCAGACACTTTACTATAATAGTGTCGCGATTTGTGTTTTGGACCCTTGAAAGGTTCTGTTCTTTACTCTGTTTAAAAAGCACTGGCCCTGTGCACTGCAGCCACAGTAATCTGCAATCCTGCTCATTTACTGAAACATCCAACAAAGTAGAAAACACATAAGTAGTATTAGCAGTTAATCAAGTGTATTGGTAGTATCCACATCCCCCCAAAGTCAGAATTCTTTAAACAGGTTTGTGTGACCTTAACTTTGAACTTTCTAGTGTTTTAGCATTTTTTTCTATGATATTTAGAAAAATGATTGTTTATTAAATGGTTTATTGTCAGTACGTATCTATGATAGGTTTATAAGAAAATCCATATATAACAACTGAAACATTTTTTGGAAAAACATAAATGGCTATTTCATTTGTCTTTTAGTTCAATTGTTTAAACAAATATTAAAAACATTTTTGAAGAAACAACTCTGGTCATATCTTGAATGAAGAAAACGGCATAATAAATATTTTTACATGATTAAAACCATTATCATTTTATGTTATACAGAATATTGTATAGTAAAGGAGAGAATCATTTTAATTGGTGACATAAGTGTTTTATCGGGTACAAATAATAGCAGACTCAAGTGAAAGGCCATTGATGTTCCAGTAGGTAAGTGTTTTTGTATGATATAAAGATAGTTATCAACCATCCTGTCTTTTGTCTGTTTCCCACCAAGGAAAGAGAAATACTACTTTTAACAAGCAGCTACAACCTTATTGATGAGGTTAGAATTTATTTCCGTATAGGCTATTTCAAAGTTATTCTTGTACGAAAGTGTTACGGTTAGCCTAATGTGCAGGTGACACAAGTAAGCAAAGTGG